TAACCATCGGGCTTACCTCTTCTACCAGGGATTCGCATACCCCAGGCGAAACGATCACTCTTGTTTCAAGCATTCAGTCAGGTCCACGCATCAGACTCAAGGTAAATACCAGTCATTCTGAGACGTTTCACTTACAGTATTTGTCTGCTCTCAAATCTTGCTAAAAATACTTGCTGGATTATTCAGGTTATATGGAGGGACGGGCCTGGGATTGATGATCTCATCGCGCCTTGCCAATGCCATGGGTGGGCATATGTGGGTTGAGAGAGAAGAAGGCCAAGGATCGACGTTCTTTTTTACTGCAAAGTTCTCCATGCCAGCCAAGCTTGTCCCATCACCAAAGCTGATTCCATGTGGTTGTTTGTGCCCAAAATTCAACCATCTGCGTGTCTTGGTTGTGGAGGGAAATGAATCGACCAGGAAGTCCATCATTTCGACTCTCGAGGTATGGTTAGTCCAGTATTACTACAACCAACATGCTGATAATATTAGTTCTCATCAGTAGTACTGATCATTCTGCCTGTGCTATTTCTGAGGAGGTCGATATCACATATATTATTTTTTCGTGTGTGCAGAAATTGGATATGAAGGTGGATGAAGCGGCTGATGCGATCTCGGCTCTGGAAAGTCTCCAAAGAGCACTGTATGATGAGTTGCCTTACACCCTTCTGATTGTCGATTCAAAAATTGGTGATGGGGACAACAGCCCAAGGTCCTCTCCTGTCAACTGCAAGTGGCTTCTTCACCATGTCAAAGAGCAGAGACTGCTTCATTTAGACAAGTCCGGATGTCGATTTCAGAATGGAGCTAACAGGAGCAGTGTTGTGCAAGACATTGAGGACCTTGCTGAGCACCCTAAGTTACCGACGCCAGATTCACTATTTTCGCAGGAAGGGAACAAGGCGTTTTCAGAAGTGCCTCATCTTAGGCATCGGCAGCAATCAACTTCAGGGGCTGTCTTAGCGGAAGGGAGAACTAACCGTGAAATGATGCAGATGCAGGAGTGTAACCAGGGGTCGTTTTCCATCTCAACCGATGGTCCGCAGGAATCCGCAAGGGATGAAGTGCTTCCTGTTGTGTTATTGACGTCTTGGAGTACTGATGACAAGTCGTTGTAAGTGAGCAAAACGTTCTTGCTTTACATGGTTTCTTGCCACCTCGGTCACTGATTTCTGCCAAATGAACAGGTGCCAGGATCTTGGTGTAAAGTTTTATTCTCCGAAGCCTGTGAAACGGACAGTTCTCGTTCGAAGAGTGAAGCAGGCACAGAATCTCCCTCTAAATGTAATGATCTTAGTATGGTCTCTTACTCCCATTTTTTGGAGATTTACCTGTTCTGTATGGTGAGTGATGTCTATTTGAGATGCTGTTGCTGGTGCAGGATCGGCTGTCCAGCACAAACTCGACTGCTTCGGATGAGGTGGTTGCAACACCAGCAAGTGACAAGACCTTGAAGGTCTTGGTTGCCGAGGATAATATCGTGAACCAACGGGTGGCATTGACTCTTCTGCGCAAGTGGGGCCATTAAGCAGTTCTGGCCAGTAATGGCGAAGAAGCTGTGAAGAAGGTTCAGACAGAGGACTTTGATGTGATACTAATGGATGTAAGTGTTACAACCTTGTGTTTCTCTCTTACAGGGTCCTTGCAATCTTGGTCTCAGTGACAGTGCGTTGATTTCCGTCCGTGCCTCTGCCATGCACGTTTAGGTCCAAATGCCAGTTTGTGATGGGCTACAGGCAACCAAGAGGATCCGAGACTACGAGTCAACGAAGAATCATCACACGCCAATCATCGCTGTAATGCTTGCAGATGGTGTTTTGACCAATGCTGATCTGTCAGCATAGCACAAGCTAATAAGTGTGCACCCTTCTTGCAGATGACTGCACAAGCTCTGATTGGAGATGGAATGAAGTGCATCGATGCAGGGATGGATTCCTACATGAGCAAGCCTGTAAGTTTCTACTGGCGGTACAGAGTTGTTCCACCTTTTCAGTTTTCTAATACGATAATGGTTAATATGCTTGCAGCTAAATGCCTCCAAGCTGAAGGATCTGTTGAGGTTAGTATGCCGATCACACGCCCTTCCAAAGCCAACAAATGAGTCTACCAGGGAATTCTGACATTCACTGAATGCTACATGCAATATGCATCAATATATGCATGGATGGGTGCCTGCCAGGCCTGTCGAAGTTCCTGGGGCTCGTACTTGCGCTCCCCAGCTCCTCCCAATCTGACCCTTGGTTGGGGGTAGGTGAGCGTTTTGGCGCCCTTAAGGGTCACGGGCGCACCCCAAAGTCAGAACTTGAAATCAGGGCATGTTTGAAGTTTGCACTTACACTTCATTTTACTATGATAAGTGCTGTTATGTACTTAAATTAGAAGTCAAAGACACCTAACACTACACATGTCATAAATAGTCATAAAACCTACCTAGCCTGCAAAGTTCTTATTCTCTACACTAACTACAGATATGGCATGCAGAGCTCAGCTACTCTACTCTAACCCGACATCCAATGCGAGCCTAGTTGGCAGGCTTCCTCCCCTTCCTCCCCTTATCCTCAAACAAGGCATAGGCCGCTGCCCAGTCCACCGGGTAGTCTAGCATCTTCACCGTCATCAGCTCCCCCAGCCTAACATCAGTAAGAGCAACACGATCCCACGACTTAATAATGTTTTGGCGGGAGAAGCCCCTTTCACACTCAACAGTGCTGAGGGGCAACACAGAGACCGCGCGCCAGAGAGAGACTATGGTGGGATAATCATCCTTCCAGTCTGCAGTGCGCAGCATGTTGGTGAGAGCCTGATGGAAGCTCTGCTTCTTGAACTTCTTCTCCATGGTGGCTGTGAAGAGGCGCATCTGCGGCTCTATGTCAGCAAGAGCGACTCCTGCCAAGGACATATACAAAGTTAGATTACGTCATTGTGTGAGCATAATACGTACAAAGTTAGAACATACGTGGGTTCCTTTCATACTAATCTAGGCTTACCAGGTAGCTGGTTCTTGAACATGTCCAGGAGCTCGGTGAGATGGTGCTGCAGCCATGTGTCCTGCTCTCCTGCACGGAAGGGATACTTATCAGGGGTGAAAAACCCAACACCATCGAAATGGCGCAGGTCCGCCATCCTCTTCCCCAGCGCCTTAATCAGGCGCTGAGCGAAACGCCGCGCCAGGTCCACGCAGGCCTCCAAGTCGCATCCCCCCCCCGGGTTTTCAGGGTCGATGATGTCCTCGTGGAGCTCGATCTCGGCTTTTGCAGGTTTCAGGCGGTACGCTTCGTGCGCGCTTTCGCGAATCTGGTGGCGGACTTGCGAAGCTAAGGTGAACCTGACGGTAGCGGGCTGCTGACAGAGGTGTAGTCTGTGACGATGATGCTTGCTGGGCGAGGCGCGGGTCCAACACTGAGATTGCTACGTCTAGCATGTCTTCAGCATCCGAGGGTACGTAAGGCTCGGTCTCGGTCGTAGTATGAGAATGACTAACGTTCGACATGGGCAAAACTGGAGGAGGGGTTTCACCCTCGCTAGGATCCATTGTGGGAGAATGTGGCTGACGAAGCGAACGGGTTAGCTACCCATACTATAAACATCGCGTGCGTGAGCTAGGCGACGCGAGGTTTACTCGGCAGAGTGGTTGGGTGGAGGAGAAGTGCCATAGCATGGCACGTACGAGAGGGGAGGGGAGAGCTGAGGGCTTGGGTGGATGATACCGTGGAGGTGGTGGGACGGTGCGGAAGAGAAAACATGGGTGGGATGTGGTGGTGGATGGATTGCATGGTGGTGGAGAGGAATCGTGGCTCGCACGAACGAAGGTGGTGAGGGAGGGAGCTGCTGCGCTGGAGTGCTTCAGTTCCTTTGACGTGCTGTGGTTTAGTGTCTTAGATGTCTCTGTGGCCAAACAACTTAGCCAGATTTACCCAAGATAATCCCATGTGTCACAGCTGTACACTGCGGCCAGCTCGTATTGGACGCTAAGGGAATGTGCGGGTGCTCCTAGGCTGACTGAGAGACACGCTACACACACGGGATTGGCTACAAAACGCTAAGGGACAAAACCCCCTTGGCGCGCTCTAGTGCAGGCTAAGGAGAAAGAGGGGGGGGAAGGGGGGGGGGGGGGTCCTACGATCTGAAACCAAAACTTAGATAAAGGGGAAGGCCTGGTTTCGTCCCTTAACGCATCCGGGCAAGGGTCGAATGAAGCACTTAGTGGCACGGGTGGGGTGCGAAACAAAAACTTGACGCATTGGAGCTGGAGCGAAACTAGCCCTTAATGTTCAGGGCATTAAGGGCATATGCCCGTCAATCGACAGGCCTGGTGCCTGCATCCCTGCTTTTTGGCAATGGTGCTGTAGATGTATTTCTGCTCTGTGCATTTTGGCAGAGCATTCCTTGCATTGTTAGTATCGTATTGTGCAGCTAAAGCTGTTGTATTGTTCCAGACTCGTGCACATAAAATGTGAAGTCTGGTTTCTTTAATTCATGTCTGCTTTGACTTCCTGTTACAGCTGTAAGGTTCCTTTCCTGTCCAGGACATAAAGTTAGGATATCTTAGAACAGGTAGAAATCATGCAAAATGTTTTTATCCAAAGTTTCAGAAACGGGACGGGGTTTGACAACAGGTTTTTATACGTACCGCCGTACTTGCACAACATATTTTCTTGGGCCAAAATTAGAGTAATCACTCAGCCACCAATGCAACCACTTTCATGTGAGATGCCATAGAATGATCAGTTTCCTTCAGCACAGGTAAAAAAGCGTTTTGAACCTAGCATCCAACCTACCTCTACTACTATTTTGCCTCCTGTCTGCTTGACAGTGTTTTCTAGCATCAACTGGGATACGCAATCCACCACCAGACAACACTAGAATAGCAGGAATGGGGGAATGCATTGGTGGTTTTAGTTGGCCAAAAGCTATGCTATTGGGGTGGCCGATAACAAGCAGCCTGATGGATGGCATGGTGAAGAATTATGAGTTATTCCATCTTAGAGGTTGGAACAGCTTCATTGTGCCAATTCACTGGCCACAGCACCTGCTGATTCTGATTGGACCTCAGATGATGATGGCGCTACAGCTGCAGCTCCACCCCCTGCCAGTCTATCAGCTTCTGTCCCTGCATGTCCTTCACTGTTACCTCCCTGAGGTCCTACTTCACCTGTCTCCCCCACACCCCTGATTTCTTCTCCCAAGGAGTTTCCCTCTATGCCTGAGACTGCCTCACCCGTTGCCTCTGCTACATCACCTGCTACTACAGGAACTTCGGCTGCTGTTGTGTCGGTGACTGGGGACTCATCTGTGGTTTCACCTGAAGTGGTGTCAGTCGGTGTCTCTGTTAAAGCCTCTGTGAGTGGAGCAGCTGCAGCGTCAGCTTTGGTATCAAGAGCATCGTCAGATTGTGCTCCAGCAGTGTCTTCTGTTGTTGCCTCTGGCATGGAAGCTGCAACGAAGGGTGAACTCTCAAAAACGTCCAGAGCCTGCTGGGTGCTTCCTGACTCTACACTCGATTCTTGAGTGATTGCTGCTGCAACATCAGCACCAGCGCTGCCTGACTCCTCGATGATTTCTGCTGCATCAGCCCCGGAAGATTCGTCAGTGCCTGTCTCAGCTACATCCACATCAGTGACTACAGCAGCACCAGAACTTTCACTGCTTCTTGTAACTTCAGATGCTGAAACTTCAACTCCAACAGATACCGCTGCCACTTCACCTTCCCCTGCAGCTGCCCCTTCAACTGCCTCTTCAGCCCCTTCAGCCAAAGCTTCAGCTGCCCCTTCGTCTGCCCCTTCAGCTGCCCCCTCGACTGCCCCTTCATCTGCCCCTTCAGCTATTTCTGCACTACCCTCTCCACCATCACCTGCTGCTGCCATCTGCTGCTCCTCTTGAAACGCCACCCATGCGGTTTGAGCTGCCTCTGATGATGTGAACAGGCTGCTGGGGCCGTCCAGTAGCAACGGCCTGGGTTAGCACGGGGAAAGAGAGAGGAATCGAATGGCAGGGGAATGACAAGGGTAGACGCACAGAAAACAGAAAATGAAAGGAAATGAGGTGTGGAACTCTCAATGCAACGAGCGAGAATGGCGTGAAGGAGGACATGGGGAAAAGGGGGGGGGGGGGGGGGAAGGAGGGGTGGGGTGGATTGGAATCGAGTATGCACAAGGATAAGTGTCACAGAAAGAACAGTGCATGAGGAACACTGGATGCACACTACACACATGAAATACACCACACAGGACCACGTGCAGACGGAGAAAGGCACAGCATGCTCACTTGAAACCAGATTCGTCAGTGCCAGTCTGCTCGGTGCCTTCTTCCTCCTCTTCATCTGCAGCATCTTCATCTGCAGCGTCTTCACCCTCGGGCTTGTCGCTGGACAGAGGCTTGTCCGGCTCCTCAGCTGCAGGCGTGGGCAGCAGCTCAGACGCCCCACTGAAACGCACAGGGAGTGCATGGGAGAGAGAAAGAGAAAAAAAGATTGGTGGGTCAAGAGAACAGAGCAGCTCAGACGCCCCACTGAAACGGACGGTGGAGTGCATGAGAGAGAGATAAAAGGTGACTTAGTGAGAATTGAGCCGACGGAACGGTTACCTCAACGAGAAGATAACGAGCATGATGGTAATGAATGTGAATGTCAATAGGACATACAGCTCTTTTGAACGAGAGCATGCTTGCATGAGGGATGCTGATATGCGCAATGCATACGAGCAGGGGCCAAACGGCTGCATGCCATGCAAACAAGAAGCATGGACAAACCGGCTGTACCTTGTGGGTGCATTCTCAGTCAGGGCCAGAGTCTCGATTTCTTGCTCCGCCTTCACCAGGTCCACGTCATACTGCAAGAGAGGCAAGAGAAGGATACAGTGATCTTGACAGCTGATGTGGCAACCACTCACACTATCCTATGCCTTTAATGCACCCTTTTCATAGGCGTAACCTGCCTGTGCTCAACACAACAGCTTGTTTTCTAGGAAAGGAAGGCTGATATATTGCAACAAGCAAAAGAAAACAGGCAAAACAAATGATGCCGACGACGCATAGAAACTACCAAAAGGAGACAGCACATAATAAACAGTTAACTGCACAGAATTTTGTAACCAGAGAAGGCAGTACGCATAAATAATGTTTCGAAATCCATGGGTGGAGGAAGGGGGGGAGGGGATGACGTGGGGGAGGGGAGGAAGGGGGGAGGGAAGAGGTGAGGGAGGGGCGGAGGGGGGAGGGGCAGAGGAGGGGAAGGGGAGAGGGGGGAGGTGGAGAGGAGTACGTACGGGATCCCTGAGCTCGTGGCCCTGAGAGCAAAGGAGATGCGCCACACCAGAGCGAGTAGCAGCCCCACATGCAGTTCACAACAGCAAGCACAACCCCCTGGCACAAGGATGAGTAGCTGCTGCGGCTGCCGCTACTGCCGCTGCTGCGGCTGGCTTGCAATGCGTGGCAGATGCAGCAGCAGCCGCTGCTACATCGGAGCAAGAGCTAGAGCGCGGCGAGAGAGGGCAGAGGGGCAGCAGCGACCATCAAGCAAGCAACAGGCAAACAAGCAAGTGACAGCGCTTCAACAGAAAAAACACAGGCTGAGTTGAGAAAGGAAGGGGTGGATAAGAGTGGGGACCAGAGGAACTAGAGGAAAAAGAATGACAGGAAAACTGAAACCAACAAAGCAGTGGAATGCAATGCAGGAGAAGACACATTAGGGGGAAGGCGGGTGGGGGGTGGGGGGTGAAGGGAGGGGAAGAGGAATAAGGTGAAAGCAAGGTGCAGAGAGGAGTAAAAAACATGGTGGCGACTTCTGAGCTGAGAGGCGAGATCATACCTCCTCCACGTCGTCTGAGTCAAGCAGCGACTGTCCATAGGCGTATTGCCCGTAGCTCCTGTTGGCGTTGGAGCCCCCTGTGAGCGAGATGGTGGAGATGTCAAAGTCCCGGTCGCGGCTGTTGAACTCGTCATCGTCACTGTCGCCTGGCCGATCGTCCAGCGCTGCTGGTCGGCTGGCAAACCGGCGGGAATGTGTGGGATACAGTGGGAGGAGACATCGGCATGCAGTGAGTTTTGAGGCGTCTCAACAGTCGTCCAGTGCTTCTGGACGGCTGGCAAACCGGTGGGAATGTGTGGGATACGGTGGGAGGAGATGGTGGCATGTGGTGAGAGATCATGTGATGCAGAGAAGCTGGCAGCAATAACATCTTGATTCTTTTAAGCTCGCGAGGGTGGGAATCGACAGCTGAAGCCACAAAACAATGGAACTTTTGGCTGGTGGGAGTGGCAGAACGCAAAGAGAGATAGGAGATGGTGGCATGTGGTGAGAGATCATGTGATGCAGAGAAGCTGGCAGCAATAACATCTTGATTCTTTTAAGCTCGCGAGGGTGGGAATCGACAGCTGAAGCCACAAAACAATGGAACTTTTGGCTGGTGGGAGTGGCAGAACGCAAAGAGAGATAGGGTGCAGAGGAAGGCGTAGTTTAGAGACGTCTCAAAACAACACTTTTATCACGTTGGTGGGAGAGTGGCAGAACGCAAGGATAGATGGGGTGGAGATGAAGGCGTACCCGCAAGACCACTGGTATACATTTTCGAGCAAAAGACGTTTTCTCAGAACGTTCTTCTGCCAGTCCGCCCACCGTGGATTTGCCTGTGGGGGGAAAGGGGAGAGGGGAACAGGCCAGGCCGTGAAGGGGAGAACAAAGACAACAATCAAAATTCTTTAAAAAGTCAAAACCATCTCATAAAAAACGTTTTTCCTAATCAATTCATGACTGTCAATAAAAAAGTCACCTACTGGTCTTCCCCCCCCCAACCCCCTAAAAAAATCCCATAATCAGCAGAATATAAAGGGCAACAATCCAAACCTTACCCCTTCAGTTCCTGTTTTCTCGAAGCTAATGCCTACACGTGACCCGTTCAGTTCCTGTTTACTGCTCTTCTAATGTTAATGCGTGAAACGCCTGAACGTACACACACACAACATGCAGCATGCCATTCCGAAGGGCCATTCCTGACATCACATGCTCAACCGCACATACCTGAACGTGAGCCTCGATCTGAGAGTTTGACGCTGCCAACTGGCAGATCCGGTTGGCTATTCTGGTCAGGTGGCCCATGTACCCGCTCCGTGCAGGCACTCTCGCTGACGCAGCTCGCGGCTGCAGCCAGCACAGATATGGAATGATGGAAGGTCAAGGATAAGGAAAAAGAGGAAGCGGGCAACAACGACGAGGCGGGCAAGGGCACCTCCAGGCATGAGAAACGGAAACAGGTAACGATGTCAGCATGATGACACGGGAGCGAGGGCTAAGGAATACCTCTGGGCGTGAATCTGGCGCATGGGGGTCGTCATAAGCGGTCATGATTCGGTTGAGGAGGTCACACTCCACAAAGAGATGCTCCAGCAGCAACGAGCTGCCACTTTCCAGAATGGCCATCACCATCCTCTCCACGTGGTGGTGCAAGAAGTTGTTGAAGTGAAATCTGAGGATAAGAAGTGGGCAGCCACCAGGCAGAACCCACCAGGCCGAACATATGGCAGGGAAAGAAGGGCAAAAACCGAGTTATTGCTGGACAAAAAGGATGAAGAGAAAAAAGGCGGAAATTTTACGGTGAAATCAAGGCAGGCGACTGATAGAAACTCAGGAAACAGGAAGAAACGGGGGAAACTCCTAACAAGAGAAATCTGCACCTGAAAAAGAGATCCAAACAGGTGCGCACGCCGCCAAGCCTCACAACCTCCTGGCGCACAAGCTCGCTGTTAGTGCCAAGAAGCACTCCAATGAACTCCACAATCTGTTGAGGCCATTAACAGTTAAGAGAAACATGAGTGCGGGAGAGGAGCGGGCAGAAAATATACGAACAGAAAGATGGAGAAGATATAACACGCCCCTAGCTGGCTTTGATCCCCTTACCTTGAGACGGTGAATACCAAGCGGCGGCCGTAGCTCTCCATAGGTTGTTGGGAGGACTTTGTCGTCATTTGAAAGGTCTAGAATGCCAATTAACTCGCCTGAAACAGAAAAAATAAAACGACACGAGCGAGCGAGGGGAATGAACACCCAATAACCATTTCTCAACCAATACAGCTCTAACACTGAAGGAAACGGGATGCAACATTGACTGTGGCTCCAGCTGCTTACCCAGCCGCTGAACCATCCCTTCAACAGTCTCCACAGATATCACTTGCTGCTGCTGATGATACTGCTGGGTCTGCAGCTGATATTGGAGCTGGTTGCGCATGACGCCGGGAGGCGGTGCACGCTTTGGGTCGAGTAACGTGATGCAAACAGACAGAGAGTTGATGACGGATGTCATCGATCTCGGGCCTTCCAGCACATGCTCGAAAAACTTCCCAATGTACCTGAACGCACAAACCACACATTCCCAAGTAAAAGGATAGATTGATTTTTTATTTTTTTTCTTTTACAAACACGCGAATGCTCACTTGGGGGTTGACAACTGAGCGGCCAATGCGGATGGGGCTGTTCTCGCGATGGCCGACAAGCACTCGGCCGCGTTCGCATGAACATCTGAGGAGCTCTGCGAGACAGAACGAGAAAAACACGCTATGTTCGAAATCCGTAAAATCAAAACCAATTCGCGAAGAACAGTGAACGTGGTGGCAACGCTACCTGAGCACTGAGTTGGGACAGCAATGTGTCCAGTAGGCTCGTCTCAGCCAGCCATTCCAGCTTGTCGGAATGATACATCATGATTTGATCATCTGCTCCCACAAGCTTCATCACGACCTGATAAGTACGCAATGCACACGCCGTTATACAATTATCCCCGACATAAACAGAGAAAGCGAAAGTTGCAGGTTCTCCTATACGAAAAAGCGGTAATTCGCGTCGGCACAAGTTCTCCCATACGAATACGTACCTCCATTACGGATGTGATCCCGATCAGTCGAATCAGGTTATCCAGAACCTCTGGATGCCTCTGTAATAGTTTCAGGTCGGCATGCACGACAATTATTAGCGACTACATTATTCATTGAAGCGAGGCGAACAGGAAACAAAAATAGACAACACGCACCTGAAGGTATGCCATCACTTCTGGAGTTTTTCGGATAAGAAGCGAAACAGCCACCTGACGAAGAAATAAGAGGATTTGTTAGGACATTGGCATTCAAACGCATAGAGTACAAAACATTTCTCAAGGGATGCTGGTATCCATAAAGCTTATGAGCATACCTTGCTGAAGTACCCTGCAAGAAGGTTCGAGTGCGGGCGATCTGGATTTGTGAAGGAGAACAGCAGATCCATAATCTGCACTTAATCAAAACGGGAACTTCAGCGCTTATTCACCGAGCAGCTACATCCTCAAGAATGTAAGCAACAATTTCCTACTTAACCGACATTTGAGCGACAAATACCTCTTCTTCCTCGACCACTGTCGTTAATATCTGATCAATGTCGCATGTAAAGACTTCGCACGAGATAAACGGGAATCTGCAAACAAATCAGAAGATCGTCTGAGTACTCTCAACAAACTCCACCCTAAGCTAAGAACGGATGTCGCTGCGCATACTTGAATGTCCGCTTAGCATCTCCATCGTCGGGAGGTGCCTCCACCACATATCGGATCATCTTCTCGACTTGCGGCTTCCCTTTAAGGCTGAAACAGGCATGTCCCGGGAAACCTACGGTGAGAAACGATGCTCAGTCGCATCACAACTAGCCATAGTTTTCGATCATAATACATACAAGTTCACAAGCCGGTTGTTCAGAGACTTGCATTCCTGAATAAGATCATCCTCGTCCAGTAGCTCCTCAAGGGTATACTGATCTCTGTCAAGAATTAAATCAACCTGGAAATGCGAAAATAAAACTAGCACACCCGTCAGATCCTGCTAGTAACGAGGCTAAAACTGCGATCACGAGAAATGGCTATGGACTGACCGGTGAGGTTGCCGCGAGGCCCGCTACTCGCCAAAACATGTTGACCAACGAGGCGGCAAACCTAACCTAAGGGAATCTGCAGAAACGCCTACACCTCGGAAAAAAAAAACTAATGCAAATGGTTTGTACTTCTTTCGCCTTAGGTGTTACCACTACGATCTCGTATGCGCTAGCTCGAAAGGCTTCCAGCTTGCTCGAGTTGAAACCCCTAACCCAGAGCTATGTCCTAAGGTTACTAGGAGTGGATAGACGGCTTGATTGGAGCGGAAACCACCCCCTCAGCAACACCAGCAGCAAGCAGAGCAGTGCCGAAAGCTGACAGCCAGATGAAACATCTCACCCGCTCCCTCTCTCCTCACCGCAGCTCTCCGAGGGCTGGGATGGGAAGGATGATCGCTTGAAGGCGGTTTGATGCGAGATTTTGTGTGGTATAACGGTTTATTTACATTCCATCGCGGTTGGGTGAGGTTGGTTCTTATAATGCCCCCTAGCACGGAAGTGAGCGCAGAGGGAGTAACTTGAAAGAGGTCATGGCAAGGAGAGGCCCCGGCTCCAGCTTTCCTGCCTGCCACCCAAACCCAATGCCAGCGCAGCCAAGCACGGACGTACTGAGTGTGTCGCTATGACGGACCTAAGTGCTGGTTTGGGCGAGGTTTGTTGTAGGTAAGGAAATCCAAAGGTTCGGGGAAAACGCCAAAGGAAGAGGTACGACATGAACTTTTTCCCGCCTTGCGAAAAATCGAAGCTCCCGTATTGGTGGTTTGCTCCTAGTTCAGCAACATCCTCGGAACACTGGATATGTTACGCAGAGGGAGAATAGCCCAGGTCATCCACACCTCCTTGTTTTGACCTAACACCAGCGCGAGCAGCATCTCACACTATTGGTTCCCGAGCCTCCGACCACCAAACCAAAGCCACGGTTCCCGCACGACATTGCACGCACTTCAACAATGGCTGTCACCACCAGGTCGTGCACTCGGATGGACGAGGCTGCGTTATAGCATGTAATGGATGATATCACGAAAACAACGCTTTTCAATAACATCCCTTAAAGCTCGCGGCCCAAATTGCGGAGCGCGCGGGGCAAGATTACTATTCTTGCACACTTCGCTGGTTTTGTGCTGTTTCTTCTGTGTGAAGCAATCTGATTGGTTACGGTGGGTTTAGATGCAACTTGATTGGTTGCAGAAGGTTTGGAAGCAATCTGATTGGTCACAGTGCAAGTTTCACAACTCTACAACTTGGGACTCTCGGTCCCCAAACACACGGTGGCCCCAGGACTTCGCGTTCACCAACCCCACCCTCAGCACCCAACCTTGCACAAGATTACTAATCTTGTGCAATTTGGGCCTTGAGCTTTAACTGCTCTAGGTACAATTTCACATGCATAATTACAGCTCACATTTAATGCAAATATAATCATTTTATAAGCAGGTGTATTCAACGACAGTGTAAGAATAATTCTGTACTCAAACCTAAAAAAATGAAACAAAATGGTAATCGCTTCTCAGAAACAAGCGAACTGCTCCTATGCCGAATCTGCAGGTGGCAAAACTGCCACCAGGTTACGGTCACCATACACATTGTCGATGCGGCCTGTAGTGGGCCAGAACTTGGCAGCTCGCACCCATGGAGCAGGGAAGGCTGCTTGCTCGCGTGGGTAGGGCTTGGTCCACTCGTCAGCAATCACCACGGAGGCGGGGTGGGGTGCGTTCTTGAGCGTGTTGTTGGCCTTGTCTGCCTTCCCATCCTCAATGGCTCGGATCTCCTCCCGGATTGCAATCATTGCATCGCAGAAACGGTCCAGCTCGGCCTGAAGAACGTGGGTGATAGGCATACAAGTGTGGAAAAAGGATAAGGGGAGAGGACACAGGGGACAGGGGCAGAACAATGGAAGGGTAAGGGTGGAAGGAGAGTTGGATGGCAACATGAGTGTGCATGTGTGAGCAGTGCCATTGCGCCCCTCCTTGTCAAAACAGATTATACAAGTGTCATCTCATAAACTCAGAGCAAACTTTCAACCATGAAAGCGTGCATGAAGCAGGCAGCAGCATGTGCCCACCAACATGAGAATCTCCCCTTGGCAATAGAAGACCCTCAACTCCACACACCAACTCACCTTGCTCTCAGACTCAGTAGGTTCGATCACGAGAGTGCCGGGCACGGGCCACGACATGGTGGGCGCGTGGAAGCCATAGCCCATCAACCTCTGGCCTACGCTACCCCTGACCACCCACGTAACCTCGACCTCTCTTATCATCAACTCACCTTGCTCTCAGACTCGGTGGGTTCAATCATAAGGGTGCCGGGCACGGGCCACGACATGGTGGGCGCATGGAAGCCATAGTCCATCAGCCTCTTGGCCACATCCTCGGGCTCGATGTGTGCCGTGCCCTGGAGGAGGGATTAACATAAGATAATATCCAGATTACTTAAATTGATCCGAGGCAAGGACCGAGGTCACTCTGGCAATGACCAAGGTCACCACCCCTGCCAAAAAAATAGCAGATAACGAGGATTGGAAATGGAATTACTGATTTATTGACCCCAAGGGTTATTCTCTGAGTTTTCACCTACTGTTTCACCTGGTGTTTCACCTGAAACCCACCTTGAATCCCCTGAGGTCGATGATGAACTCGTGGGCGCAGGTGCCGTTGGCGCCCCTGAACAGCACAGGGTAGTGGCTCTGCAGACGGGTGGGAAAGACAGACAGATGGGAGGGACGAAGAGGTGAGGCGGGGAGGTGCAAGGGCTCGAAACAGTAGGTGCGGTTGGCGCCCCTGAACAGCACCAGGAAGTGGCTTTAGAGGGAAGCAGCACCAGGAAGCGGCACCCACATGATGGCATTGTGCATAAAGGAGATGGACAGGATGATGAGCTGACAGACCACACAGATAGCTAGTTTCAAGATGCCCCAGCATGAGACAATCCCACCAAACTCCGGCCTCTTGGCCATGTAGTTAGATTCAAGATGGCAAGTCTTGAAGCGTCAGTGAGCCATTGGGCGCCCATCATAGCAATGTACATGAAGGAGATGGGCAGGATGAGCTGACAGACTATACAGGTAGGTGGCCAACGTTCAAGATGCACCAACTTGAAACCATCCCACCCACCTCGAGCCTCTTGGCCATGTAGTTGGCGTTCAAAATGGCGAGTCTTGAAGCGTCGGTGAGCCCTTGGGCGCCCATCATGGCGATGTACATGAAGGAGATGGGCAGGATGAGCGCGGAGCCCCAGGGAGCAGCTGCAATGGCGCCCATCTGCTTGCCCACTGACCCGGGAGGGGGAGGGGGGATGCCTCCAGTCGGGATCTGATGGGTGGGATGGGGTGGGGTGAGGTGGTAACGAATAGCATGAGTCAGTGTGAGGTGGGTGGTGGCTATCGATAGGATGAGCGCAGAGCCCCAGAGAGCAGTGGCAATGGCGCCCATCTATTTGCCCACCGAGCCGGGAGGGGGATGGGGGATGCTTCCAGTGGGGTGGGGTGGTGAGGCATAACATGAGTCAGCATGATGTGGTGGAGGAGGGGGGAGAATGGGCAGGAGGGCAGGGGGTGAGCACAGAGCCCCAGGGAGAAGTGGTAATGGCGCCCATCTGCTTGAATTTGTAAAAAAAAAAAAAAAAAAAAAAAAAAAACAGGAGTTTGGCAATGGCGCCCATCTGCTTGCCTACAGAGATGCGGGGAAGGGGGAGGGAGGAGGGGTGAATGCAGGAAGGGGCTAGGGGTGAAAGGACTAGAGGAAGAGGCAGATAGACCACTACAGGGTGAGGGGGGAAACAGAAAAACTCCACAACAGGGTGGGAGGGCAGGAAAGGGACTCACCACAGGGTGGGAGGGCAGGAAGGGAGCGAGGTGCGCCTTGACTCCAATGGGGCCCATGCCGGGACCACCCCCTCCGTGGGGAATGCAGAAGGTCTTGTGCAGGTTGAGATGGCACACGTCCGCTCCTATGTGGCCGGGGCTGGTGAGGCCGACCTGCAGGCGATACAAGAGAGTTAGAAGAGGGGGCAAAGGGAGAGAGGGGGAGCACACAAGGGTGAGCACAGGTCTTGTGCAGATTGAGATGGCACACGTCCGCCCCTATGTGCCCGGGGCGAGTGAGGCCAACCTGCAGGGAGATAAAGAACAGAGAAACGTTCGGGCCAGGAGGGGAAGGGGGAGGGCGGGGAAGGAAGGAGAATAGGTGGAGAAGGGTCGCAAGTGAGTTATCAGTGTACGTGAGACAAGACTATTGAGGACTGGCCTTGATAGTTGATGCTCCTATGATCCTATCCTACCGGTGCACTCAGGTTAGCGCTATCCGCTATAATGCGTTCAACTGAACTCCATGCTCAGGGCGCACCTGTGCATTCATGTTGGCTCCGACCATGTACACTTGGGTTGGATGATGCGACATGGGGTCATGATTACGATTAATCCGCCGAGATGTGCACGTGCGTTCATGGCACTGCCATTCTCACCTGGGCGTTCATGTTGGCGCCATCCATGTACACTTGGCCACCGTTGGCGTGGATGATGCGGCAGATCTCGTCCACACCCTCCTCGTACACTCCGTGGGTCGATGGGTACGTGATCTGCACGCATGTAGGGCCATATGCACGTGGTCATGCACATGGTAAGGGGGAAAGAAGTTGAAGGGCTGAGAGAAAGGAGTGGGACTGACTGACGAAAAAAACATTAGAGAGGGAAAAAGGGGGGGAGCGGGAGAGGGGGAGGGAGGGAGGGAGGGAGGGAGGGAGGTAGGGGAGGAGAGAAGAGCAGGCATATAAGTAGCTAGCTGCCATGAAGCCAGCTCGCAAGCCCTACCATGCGCCCTCTATGCGCTCACCATGAGGGCGGCGAGGTCGCCCTTGTGCTTCTCTGCTGCTGCTTTCAGCTCAGCGATGTTGTCGTTGCCCTTGTCGCCAGTGCCCACAGCCTATTGCCCACTTCAAACCAACCACCCCCTCCCCCTCCCAAACACACACTCACCATGAGGGCGGCAAGGTCGTCCTTGTGCTTCTCAGCGGCCGCCTTGAGCTCAGCGATGTTGACGTTG